ACATGCTATTTGCAGCTGAGTTTTTTAAAAAGTATTTGTTGTTGTTGTTTTGTTCTGTCCTGCTGGTTTTGATTTATCTGATAGCAAAAAGAGACCAGGTGATGCATTTAAATATTCACATTTTTTTTTTTTTTTTTTTTTTTTTTTTTTTTTTTGGTTTTTCGAGACAGGGTTTCTCTGTGTAGCTTTGCGCCTGTCCTGGAACTCACTTGGTAGCCCAGGCTGGCCTCGAACTCACAGAGATCCGCCTGGCTCTGCCTTCCGAGTGCTGGGATTAAAGGCGTGCGCCACCACCGCCCGGCGTATATTCACATTCTTTAGGAGATTCATGTCATAGAACATTCCTCTTTCTGGAAAGCATGAATTTATGTAGGTACTAGACATTTATATCAAATTTTGCAAAATGTTTTCTTTTCCTTTGGAGACAAACAATGATGTAGAAATTTTTTCTCATTTGGAAAATTAGCTACCTGTAATAGAAAAGTTTGTTCAATAAACAGTTGTATACTTGGCTAGCCATTCTAGAAGGAAAATCAAGTTAGGTTCTTACCTTATGTTATTTGTTAAAAATAATTTCCCAGTTCATCTTAAAAATAAAAACACCCACCAGGCGGTGGTGGTGCACGCCTTTAATCCCAGCACTTGGGAGGCAGAGGCAGGTGGATCTCTGTGAGTTCGAGGCCAGCCTGGTCTCCAAGCCAGTTTCAGGAAAGGCGCAAAGCTACACAGAGAAACCTTGTCTCGAAAAACCAAAATAATAATAATAATAATAATAATAATAATAATAATAATATAATAACAACCCAGGAGAGACAGTGACAACTGAGCTATCTTGAGAGAGCCGTGTAAGCACAGGAGCAAGAGGAAGCACCTTTAAATGATCTGCTGATTTATTTGCACAAGAATTAGCAAAAATGTTTCTAAATTAGAGAATATCTTTATATTTTTTTAATAGGAAATTTGAGCTGGTACATACATTTAATTCCAGCACTCGGGAGGCAGAGGCAGGCAGATCTCTGAGTTGGTGGCCAGTGTGGTCTACAGAGTGAGTTCCAGGACAGCCAGGGCTACACAGAGAAACTCTATCTCAAAAACAAACAAAAATAATGTTAAAATATAAAAACAGAAATTGAGGAAATTTGAAAAGCACTCATAATTGATGATCATACATGATAATGCCATCAATACATAATGATATTTATAATTCTAACTTAAACTAAACATCAACAGGTAAGACAATTACGGAGACTGGGCTATATCTTGCTCCAAGTTACTCTGTATGGTTCAGAACTCTTTTTCAAGCTGGGGCTTGTCCTGAGCAATCCCATTTTATAAAACAGCAGTTTCCTCTGTCTTCAGTGCAAACACTGAGGTGGAGTGACTCACATCTTGTCTGTGCAAGTGAACAACCATAGCACAAACGTGAGGCACAGACTGCTAAGCAACCTCTTTACACAGTAACGTGTAACCACCTATGACCTTCAAATTAAATCAGGAACACCTGGATACATGAAGAGAGCAAAACCACCTCAGAAACCTAGACCCATGAACTAATTTAGCACACCAGGCCAAAGAATGACGCAATCACCTCACTTGGTATTATAAATGTTATTTTTTTTCCCATCCAGGAAAATGGCCACAGCAATGTACCTCTAACGTGGGCTTCCGTTCCAGTGAAGTTTCTCCTGCCTAGGACAAGCTGACACTAAAATTGCCCTCCTTTCCCCACCCCAGCAGCATTTGACAACTCTGCACCTGCAGTTCATAAAGCTTATCTGACCCCACCCCTGCACCCCCCACCCTGTCCTCACCTTTGCCCCCCCCAATCCCCACCCCTGCTCCCATCCCCACTCCCAGAGATGTTTCCGTGAGTCTGAATCAGCTTTCCAGAAATCTTTGCCTTCAGTATGGCCTCTTTGAACCCTGTGGACTCTTTACCCTTTTGAAATCATCCTGTAGCTCTCTCCCCTGGCTCCTGGCTCCTCTCTCCTCTCTTCTCTCTCTCTCTCTCTCTCTCTCTCTCTCTCTCTCTCTCTCTCTCTCTCTCTCCATTGTGAAGTGCATTACACTTTCATACTCTTAAATACTCCTAATACTGTTAATTACTATTAGTAATAATAATTAAGATTGGAAGAAAAGAACCTGCTATTGTTAATGACCGAGTCTACCAAGTGAAAACAGTTGCACTTGGTGAATTAAATAGGCAACGAAATCAAAGCATCTTGTGAATTGAAAGACGAAAAATGTGCCCATGTTGCTGACGTAGCTTGCTCATACTAGAAAAGAAATGGATAGGTCACATAATAAAGTGTTTTAACATAAAAATATTTAACTGTTATTTTTTAAAAAATTTATTTGTTTTTAGTGCATTGGTGTTTTGCCTGTATGTAAGTATGTATGAGAGTGTTGGATCCACTAGAATTGGAGTTACAGACAGCTGTGAGCTGACATGTGGGTGCTAGGAATTGAACCTGGGTACTTTGGAAGGGCAGCCAATGCTCTTAACCGCTGAGCCATCTCTCCATTCCCTTAACCTCTATTTTTTTTTTAAATATGTGAGGAGCAGGGGACATAGCTGAGAGGTACAGTGATTGCCTAGTATATACAGGGCCCTAGGTACAATCCCAAGCACTGGAAACAAAAATTGCAGCTTTTTTAGTCTTAGTAATGTTTCCTGTAGGTGGGAATAAAGAAGAGCTCTTGTACATTGCTGGTGGGAGAATAAATCAATGCAATCACAGCACAGTTGGCAGTAGGCAGCCAAAGCTTTCAGCTGTTCATTCTTTGACCTAGCCATTTCCACTCCTGGGAATCCATTCTAAAAAATTACTGGAGTTCTGTCAGGCTACCAGGACAATTAGACTAGACTAGGCATTTCTGAGCACTGAAATTCTTTCCTCACAGTTCTAGAGGCTGGACTGTCCGAATTGAAGGTTCAGAAGACTCAGTCTGATAAAGTCTCTTCCCCCTGGGTTGCAGATGGATGCCTTCTTGTTATATCCTTACATGGGCTTTCCATGAAGTGCATGCCCATATCCACAGACATGTGCTGCCCCCGAGAGAGAGAGAGAGAGAGAGAGAGAGAGAGAGAGAGAGAGAGAGAGAGAGAGAGAGAAAGGGAGAGAGAAAGGGAGAGAGAAAGGGAGAGAGAAAGGGAGAGAGAGAGAGAGCTTTTTATAAAGTCACTAGCTCTACTCCATTTCTAGTTCACAATTTTAAACTGTAAATAAAGATGTACATGCAGATACTGGTCTTATTTTTATTAGGAGTAATGAGAAAGTAACTGTCCAACAATAAAGATATGATTGAGTAGTGATAAAAACACATAGCAAAATATTACAAGGCCTTTAAAATGTTTTAGGGACCAAGATGGAGTAGAATCACTTTTCCCTATTTCTCCAACTTAAATATGGCTAAAAACTCCTTGATATCTGACTGAAAACAAGCTTAACGACAATGAAAGTGGAAAAGAAGGTGGCAGGCTTCCTAGGAACCTGCACAGTGGTGAGTACTTTGGACTTTTTGCCTCATAAATAGCATTAAAAAATGCCAATAAGAACAGATGAAAGCAATAATAAAACCAAGAAAGGTTTGCTTTAGCCAAAGGAGTAAAAATGTGAGTCATTATTATGATCTGAGGAAAAATATCAAATGCTAACGGTGGATATAAATTGGTAAAAGAATTACAGGCTTCAAAATAAAACAACAACAAAAAGAATTACAGGCTTAATATTCTTCTTCTTTAAACTTTTTTGTTTATAATTTTCTCTAATGAGCCCATATCACTTTCTTATTGAGATATAATTCACATATGATTAAAATTCACATTACTTTTATAATTAAAAAATGACATTTTCTTTTTTTGTTTGTGTTTGCTTATTTGTTTTTCAAGACAGGGTTTCTCTGTGTAACAGTTCTGGCTGTCCTAGAACTCACTTTGTATACCAGGCTGGCCTCGAACTCACAAAGATTCACCTGCCTTTGCCTCCAAAGTGCTGGGATTAAAGGAGTGAGCCACCACACAAAGTTCAAGAACATTTTCTAAATTGTTTATTTGTAGAGAAACTACTAAGACAACTAACTAGGTCAGTAGTATTGAGAATCAATTTTTGCAAAGAAATATGTTATGTCTGTAATTACATTAAAGAGAGAAAGCCTTGCCTTTTCTGAACTTATTTTTTCTCTCAGGCATGCAAGTATGTGGAGGGCAGAGACTCATTCTCAGAAGTAGGATCTCTCCTGCTATCTTTGGGCTCCTGGGATCAACCTCAGGTCATCAGGCTTGCCTCTACCTGACGTGCTGAGTCATCTCACTTGGCTACTCCAAACTATTATAACTCTGCCATTTGCTCTGTGTGTTTTTGAGTAGTATGCCTCATTTGTATCTGATCTAGACAAGAACCATTCAGAGAGGATTTAAGAAATCCTTCACACAGAAATCCTTCACACAGAAGCTCTATGTCATGCATGGCTGTCACCTTCAGTGGAGTAAGAACGTCTGAGAAGAAATGTAAAAGCTGAATTAGCTCTTGGACTCATTATAGAAAAACTGGAGGAAGAGAGGAAATAAGAGACTTGAAAGCAGGCTGTAGCAGACAGAACTCTGGTCTAACCAAATGGCTTCTTTCGCCTAGCCCATTATGATAGAATCATACTTTCTCAGGTTTAAAACCACCATGTAGACCTTCGGTCTTAGATCTCACTATATTTGTACAATCAGATTTTATTGAATATAAAATGCTGGTTTTTCTTGATCTTATCAGAAGGTGTCAGTAGAAGTTCTTCATCTTTTTATATCATGAATTAAAAGAAAATAAAGGAGCTATTTAAAAATTATAACCCAACTTCAGAGGGGCTAAATATTTTGAAGTATGTATCTTAGAAATGGTAAGTTTTTATTCTTTCATTTGATTTACTCCTCAGGTGATGTCCATCTATCAAAAGACAATTGAAACTGGCAGAATAATTTGATACAAATATTAAATAACACAGCTCCTTACTTGTATAAATTGCTGTTGGTTCAATCCAGGTTCCAGAGATTTGATCATAATCAGATCTTTGCAATGTGATTCTAATTTTAGAATAAAAGTTATTTGCTAATTAGTTTAGGGTAATAAATTCATATTTTATATTCATAATATAGTACTAAAATTATTCTCAATTAGTATCTATCCATAGTTACAGTAAATAATTTATAGTTGGGTAACATCCCAATTGCTACCAAGGGTTTTTTCCCTGGCTTTATTTAACCAAGAAACTTGAAATTAAAAAGAATGAATCTAAATTTTTAATAACTAAGTTGGAATAAAGCAGAAACAGATATGCATAATAACATAAAAGACTAAAAAAAAAAATCAGTGTAGTTTATGAGAGCATTTATACCAGCAGACCTAAACCAAAAGCTCTCTGTGAACATTCTCTTTAATGAGTATCTTTTCTTTCTTTCTTTCTTTTTTTTAAGATCTAGTCTCCTTTTTTATTTTATATTTTGAGACAGGGTCTTTCTACATGTCCTTGGTTGTCCTGGAACTTGCTCTGTAGATCAGGCTGGCCTGGAACTCACAGAGATTCACACACACACACACACCCCCTCCCGTGCCCACTGAGTGCTGAGATTAAAGGCGTGTACCACTATACCCAGCTTAAAATTTCTTTGTCTTCAATGTTTCTTAAATTAACAAATACCATGTGAATGTGGTCTTTATTGTAAGAGATGTAAATAACATAAAGGCTATTCACCATCTCAGAAAACAGTTAGGGGAGGTAACCTTGTAAACTGTATGTGAATATGAACATCTTCCTTTTCCATATTTTCCTCAGCATCTTCAGGCTCCCTGGCCCCAGAGCCAGCAGTCACCACTGCTAAGCAGTGATGTCATCCTCTTTTCAGCAACCTTCCTGTGCACTTCCAAATGTGTGTGTGCATGCAGACACAGAGGTCATTTGCTTTTCTCTAACAGTTATCATCATCCTGACCACTCTGTAGGTTTTTCATGTATGATCAGGGGCTCAGGGGAACAGTTTGGAATTGGGAGTCATCAGCTAAAGTTGTGTGTTAGAGTCAGAAAATCCAGGGTGTATGAACAGTGTATCAGGTAATGAAAAAGCCAGAAAAGCAAACTCTGGAAAACAACACTTAATGTGCAGAAGATCTAAGAAATAGAAAGGCTAAGAGGTGATTGAAGAGAGTCCTCTGAGTAAGGGTGACCAGTAATGGGGAACGTTACACCTCCACTTTAGTAATGGGGAACGTTACACCTCCACTTTAGGTGACCAGTAACGGGGAACATTACACCTCCACTTTAGGTGACCAGTAATGGGGAACGTTACACCTCCACTTTAGTAACAGGGAACATTACACCTCCACTTTAGGTGACCAGTAATGGGGAACGTTACACCTCCACTTTAGTAACGGGGAACATTACACCTCCACTTTAGTAATGGGGAATGTTACACCTCCACTTTAGGGGCTAGAGGCTTAGCTCAGTGGTGGAGCACCTGTCCAGCAAGCACAAGGCCCCTGGGTTTGGTCCTTAGCTCCAGCAAAACAAAATAAAACAAGCTTCTACTTGATATGATCACTACAGAGTCCATATTGACCTCACCAAGAGACAGACACAGTTCCATGAAGGAAGGACTAAGACACTAGCTCTCTCCTGCTTCTACCAGTATCTCTGCCTATGTGGACTGGGACAAGGTCATAGAGAAGACTCTCCAGTCACTCTTGAGCTTTGTAGCTGGCAGAACTAGATATATAGTTCCTCCAGAAAATTATGCACACTAGACTGGTCTCTACCACCAACGGCTGACCTTGAGTAACTTAAGAGGGAAAACCGTGTCTTAATTTTCTTTGTATTCTTTACTCCGCACAGTGTCTGGAACCAAGTGAGGACTCAACAAGTGCTGCCTGACCTCATGACCCAGGAAATAAACACTGCAGTAAAGGAAAAGACGGGGACCACTCATCTGGTCCGGGAGGGATGGTTTGGAATTTCTCTCATTTTCAGCAGGATCCTAACAGAATTCTCTTATCGTACTGCTTACTCACTTTCACCCAAAATAAACAAATAAGCAAAGATATTGCAAAGAATTTCTGAAAGAAATGGAGGCTGAGCTGAGGGGAGAATTCCAGTTTTTAGTTTAGGCTGAGGGCAGGGAGAGGACAGGTTGTCAGGAAGGGAGGCCCAGATCATGTTCTCGAAAGAGCAAACAGGATGCTAAGAAGCATGCTTTATTTTAAAGAGCAAGGAAAGGGTGAGCACAGTGGCACACACCTTTAATCCCAGCACTCGGGAGGCAGAGGCAGAAGGATCTCTGTGAGTTTGAGGCCAGCCTGGTCTACAGAGTGAGTTCCAGGACAGCCAGGGCTAGCTATGTAGAAAAACAGTCTCAAAAAACTAGAGGAAAAAAAAGCAAAGAAAAAAATTAAAATATTCTCACAATTTATAGTTACCACCAAACACAGTGATAAAAAACAAACAAATAAAAACCAGTGTGTTATACTGGGAGGCAGAGACAGTAGGATCTCTGTGAGTGCCAGGCCAGTCTATGTCGTCTACACAGAGAGTTCCAGGCCAGCAGCAGGCCCTGTCTCAAAAAAAATAAATAAATAAATAAAATAAAATAAAGCAAAATAATCAGTGGGTTACAAATTACATAAATCCCAGGATCTAGACTCGTGTTCTTAGTTACAAGTAAGAGTTCTCTTGGCCTAGTCTCAAATAAGGAAAAAGTCTTAAAATAAATGCATCAAAGCCAATGGTCCCCGTAGGGATGGGCTCCTCTCTGCTCCTGGGGTGCATCGTGAAACTTTGGAGGAGAGCTTTTGTTGTTTTAGTGGTGGGGAGCAGGTGTGAAGACAGCATTCCCACAATTTCTATGCAATAAAGGCTCCCCTCTCTTGTCAGACATTGAAAAAGGTGAAAAGCCTGCTTACAATAACTTTGAATTTAGAACTTATTTTATGTGTAAATTCCGAGCACCGCTTTGCGATTGCTTTGCTGCTGCTGCTGCTGCTGCAGAGTTTTGAGCCCTGGCCTCTGTGTCGCCCAGCACATGTTCTACTTCTGAGCCGTCGATGTACCTGGTCCCTCATTTTGCTTTTGAATTTTTCTGAAAATATAACTACTGTGAAATTTTTGATTGAAGGTTGAAAATGTGGTCTGGAACTCATCAGTACTTGTTCACCATTCAGAAATTGTGTCATATATAGAAAGTGACATTACAACTTTAATCTGAACTAACACATCAGTGTTAGTTTGCATTTGTAACACCCCAGCCATGAGAATACCACGCATACATGCACACACACATGAATATCCATGTATATGTATATACATATGTGAATATGTAAATTCTTTTTGCCCTTATTTCAAAATGCCAATACAAGGAAAACAGTTACTTAGGTATTTTTTTGTTTTTTTGAGACAGGGTTTCTCTGTGTAGTTTTGGATCTGTCCTGGATCTTGCTCTATAGACCAGGCTGGCTTAGAACTCACAGAGATCTGCCTGCCTCTGCGTCCGAGTGCTGGGGTTAAAGGCGTGTGCCACCACCGCCCAGCTCAACCTCCCTCTTAAAAATAAAAATACTATAGTAATAGGCATATTTACCAAGTTGCAATTCTGGCTTCTGAAAAAAATCATAAAGGACATTCTGAACCTGCAGAGAGAGGAGGGGAAAGAACATATTACTCCTCAATTACCACATATTTAGTTTTTTAGATTAAAAGTCATGTATGGTCTTTCTAAGTACTTTGACAGTGAGTGTGATGTACCTAAGACACATTTGCAACTATCTTGGCAATCTTGAGAATTCTCTTTACTTCCTTATCCCCTAATTACTAAACACAAAATTTCAGAGCACATTTTGGCCCCTGTATAAGAAATAGGTTTTCAATTCTATGGAGAATTTTTAGATTCAAGCTAAACAGAGCACACAGTACAGAGTAGCCCTGCCACATGTATGCACAACCTCCCTGACTACCAATATTCTGTGCTAGAGTTCTAGATCACTACAAATGACAAGCCTGCAATGATCATCATTTCTTCCAAAGCCCACAGTTTATATCTGAGGTAACTGTTGGTGTTCTATGTTCTAAGGGTTTTGACAAATGCATAAAGGTGGCATTTATCACTACAGTATCATATAGGGTTGTTTCACTGTCTTAAAAGAGTTTGTATTTGAACAGCTAAGAAATAGAACCAGCTTTGATGCCCAACAACATATGAATGGATAAAGGAAGTATAGAGCATTTACACAATGGAATTCTATTCAGCAGTACAGAATCATTATATCAAAACATTTGCAGGAAATGGTTAGAACTCAAGATCAATGTGCTGAACAAAATAAGCCAGACTTAGAAAGACAAATACTGAGCCAGGCAGTGATGGCACACGCCTTTAATCCCAGCACTCGGGAGGCAGAGGCAGGAGGATCTCTGTGAGTTCGAGGCCCGCCTGGGCTACAGAGTGAGTTCCAGGAAAGGTGCAAAGCTACACAAAGAAACCCTGTCTCAGGGGGAAAAAAAAAGAAGAAGAAGGAAGACAAATACTGAGTGTTTCCTCTCATGTGAGGAACCTTGATCTAAAGCCTTGATTGTATGTGTATAGGTCATTAGAGTAGAGTGGGGAGCACAAGAGAAGAGTGAGCCATCTAAAGGGCAGACAGTGTAGAAGTATGTAATGGATACATGTGACTCGAAAACAGAGAGGAAGACTGTACGAGAGGAGGAACAGGGTCAGCAAGAGGGAGCTGGGGACATGGGGAGGTTTGGGAGAGAAGAATGAATAAGAACAAAGCATAATACATATTATAGAATGTTATACTATAATAAATATTGTGTATAACACTTATTTTATATAAAATATTGCATGTTATATGAAAATTCCACAAAGAAACCTTTTACTTAAATGCTAACTTAAAAATAAAAATCCTGTGTTCCACCTATTCATTTTTCCTTCCCTGATGGCAACAGTATTTGTTTACTTTTTCTATAATTTCTGCTTTTCCAGAATGTCATGTAATTGCAATCACACAGTATTTGGTATTTTAGTTCAGCTTCTCCAACTTTGTAACAAACACTTAGGTTTCCTCCATGTCTTTCATGGCTTGATATCTCCTTCCCATTTATCACTAGCCTTCCACTGCATGACACACCATGTAGATTTATCTCCATTTACTTCAGGGTATCTAAGTCACTTACTTGTGTGGGCAATTACAAGTAAAGCCACTATATACGTCAATATGCAGGAGTCGGTATGGACAGGAAACTTTAAGTAATTTGGGTAAATATAAAAGATGGCTATTATTGAATTGTACATTATAAAAGTATATTTAGTTTAATTGTGTGTTTAAAATATTCACAAAAATTACCAACTTAAGTTTTTTGTTTGTTTAGAACAGTGGTCTGAACCTGTGGGTTGTGACCCCTTTGGGGGTTGCATATCAGATATCCTGCTTAACAGATATTTACTTATGATTTATAACAGTAGCAAAATTATGAAGTAGCAACAAAATAATTTTATGCCTGGGGGTCACCACAACATGAGGAACTGTATTAAAGTGTCGCAGCATTAGGAAGGTTGAAAACCACTGGTTTAGAAAGAGAGGTTTTTTGTTTTGTTTTGTTTTGTTTTAAATTTATTTCATGCATATGAGTGTTTTGCCTGCATGTATGTCTGTGCACCACATGTTTGCCTGATGCCATCAGAGGCTAGAAGAGGGCATGATCCTCTGGAATTGGAGTCACAGACAATTATGAGGCACCATGTAGGTACAGGGAATTGAATTAGAGTTCTCTGGAAGAATAGCTAATGAATGCTCTTAAATGCTGAGCCATCTCTCTAGCCCTAGAGACAGAGTTTTACAACGTACCCCAGGCTGGTCTCAAACCTATAGCAATCCTCCTGCCTCAGCCCCCCAAGTTCTGAGATAATAAGCATGTGTCAATTTAGTCATTTTAAAGAGTACATATGTATGTGCAGTACATTTACATTGTTGTGAAATATATACTTAGAATTTTTCTTTTCACAAATTTAAAATTCTACAGCCATTGAAGGCCAACTCCTCTTCCTCTTATCCATTTCCCTTGTAACTGCCATCCTGTTTCTTGTTTCTCTGAATGTAACTGCTTTCGATACCTCACATTGGTGAGCTAACTCAGGCTATTTATTTAGTTTCAGAAGCAACAGTCTTTCAAAGTGGTTGTACTGTTTTGTATTCCCCCTAGCAGTGAATGACCATTCTTTTTGTTTGTTTTTCGAGAGAGGGTTTCTCTAGAGTTTGATCTAAGACCTAAGATTCTTTAATGGTGTGTGATGCTGGCATTGTCTCACAGGTTTATTTGCCATTTGCATATATTATGTATCTTTGGTGAAATGTCTGTCATGACTTTTGTTCAGAGCGTGTGTGTGTGTGTGTGTGTGTGTGTGTGTGTGTGTGTGTGTGTGTGTGTTGTTCAGATAGGGTCTCACTATGTAGATCAGGCTGGTTTTGAACTTAAGTTTTTTCTTATTTCAGTCTCCTGAGTGCTGGGATTGTAAGCATGTGTTACTAGGTCTGGCTTCTGCCTGTTCTTTTTTTTTTTTAAAAGGGCTATTTAATTTTTTATTGTTGAATTTTAATTAATAATTATTTTATATTTTGGACAGTAGTCTTTAATAAGGTTTGTTTTTGTTACTATTTTCTCCACAGCTCTTCTTCCTTGCTCCATTTAAAGTCATTCACCTTAAAGTGAAAAATGATTGGCATTGTATCTTATGATTAAATATTTTCAAATCTCTACACAATTAAGAGAAAATACTTTATTCTTAGAGAGTAGCTGTTTTTTGAAGCTAAGAGATGTGGTCTCATAGATATCACAAATAGTCACACACACACACACACACACACACACACACACACACACACACAAAATCCATCTCTGTTGGTAATGATTAGGTTGGACCCCCTTGTCAGGATCAAGATTTTAAAGATCTTACTAGATTTGTATTTTATTTTTCACGACCATTGGAAAAAACTGAAGAAATCAATAAGCTCCCATTAGATAGGTCAAGAATTGACTTAGTTCAGTTGTAGCAAGGATTTCAAGGGAAGGCGCTGACATTGCACTTAACATGCTAGCAATTTCCCTCTTACCACTCCTCCCTCTCCCCTTTGCATGCACCCTTTCTCTTACCACAACTATAGGAATCATTCCTCTGGGGTTGAGAATCCATTCACTGAACTGTTCCTCCAGAGCCTGCTTTCTCATGGAGGCCACCTTGACTTTGACTGTGCTGATATATTCTCTTTGTTCTCTCTTTTGCTTAACTTTCTCCTTCATGTTGGATACTCTGGAGGGTGAGAACATGGAATATATGTTAAGAATCCTCAGTTTGGCTCAGATAGCTCAGTGGCAGAACCCCAGAGTCCGGAGCCTCATCTAAAGCCCGGAGTTGCCTGTCTTCCCCAGAACCTACTGCATTAAGCATTCCTCTTCGCCAATTTCTACTGCTATTTAACTTTGTATAGAGGCTGGCCTATTTTACCTAAGTAAGTAATAGGTTTAACAAGTATTGGTGGGGATGTTAATTAACATAATAATTATGGAAAACTGTGGCGACATCTGAAAACCATAAAAGTATAACTACCAAAAGACACAGTAATCTCACTTTTGAGTATTTTTCCAAAAGACTTGAAATCAGCTTGTTAAAAAGAGGTTTGCATTCGTATATTAATTACCACACAATTCACAGTAGCAAAATACAGAATCAATTCTGAATGGATAAAGAAAATTTGGCACATAAGCACAACAGATTATTATGCAAGGTTACAAAAACAGAATCTGTTCTTTGTGAACTGTGGATAGAACTGGAGAATTAGGATAAGTGAAAGAAACCAGGTACAGAAAGTCAAATGCCACACATTATTGATATATAGTAAAATATTTTAAAAAATCAAACAGAGAAGCAGAGAGTACAATGGTGGTCATGGAGGAGATTAAGGACAAAGGGAACAAAATACATCAATTAGAATGAAGAATAAGGTTTTTAAAAGTATCTATTGCATAATAATATAGTTTATAATAAAATGTTGCATATTTAAAAATTTCTAAGAGTATAATTTTCAAATGTTCTCTCCATAAAATGATAACTATTTGAAGTGAAATATGTTAGTTAGCTTGACTTAATTATACTACATATTTAAAAATCATAACATCACATTGCACCCTATAAATATATAAACTATAATTAGTCAATTTATAGGTTTTTGTTTTTGTTTTGTTTTGTTTTTTACAAAAAGAAGTAGTAAGAATATTCCTAGAGCCACATGGCTTTAATCCCAGTACTTGGGAGGTAGAGGCAGGCAGATCTCTGTAAGTTCGAGGCCAGCCTAGTCTACAGAGAGAGTTCCAGGACAACCAGGGCTACACAGAGAAACCCTGTCTCAAAAAACTGAGAGAGAGAGAGAGAGAGAGAGAGAGAGAGAGAGAGAGAGAGAGAGAGAATACTCCTAGAGGCTTTCCTACACCCTCTAAAGGCAGAAACAGTCTAAAGTCTAAAGGTTGTTAGCCTTTTTTCTTCCCTGAACATAAAAGTCATCTGGGGGGACTCTAATCCCAAAACTAGGATGGGAGCCTGGAAGGTCCTCCTATAAGAAGCACGTCAGGTCATTCTGATACTTTGGCTAAACTTGAGAAATCTGTCTGGGGCTGTATCTTGGCCTGTTGCTGCTATCTAGTCAGAGTCAAATGCTTCCGCAGCCCTGCTGAAGTCCTGAGTACAAGAGTAACTATTGTCCTCTGCCAGAGATGCATCGCCAGGCTGAGAATGGGCAAAGAATGGAGGCTTCAGTTGTTCCTATGTTAATCATCCCTATTAGAACGTAAAAAACCAACCAAACAAACCCCAAACTGTTTTGATTGAAATCAAGTCACATGGTTCAGAATAATAAAAACAGTGGTGAGTGCCAAGTGAATTTTTTTTAGGTCCAACAACATTTGGAATAGGTTTTCATCTTTCAATGAGGAAAGACCAAGACAATTTGACAGATTTGAGATGCAAAGGAATTTTCACTGAGAATGTGGACTTTAGATAACTCTAATTGTCCAAAAGAAGGTACTGCATAGAAGATAATAGTTTATGCCCATGTAAAACCTTTGTATTTCTCTAGGAATATAAGCCTTCAAAAATAAACTTTAGGTTTGAAAACAAAAGCATGGAGGCAGGTTTAGCAGTGCAGAAGAGCCTTGTGTGCACTTCTGAAAGATTAATTAGTATTTTAAAGGAAGGGCTAGATTCCTCTAATGTTGCTAAGCATCCGAAGCTCCCAAGTCCCTTCAGCTGTTTTCTCACCCTCCTCTTCCCATCCTGCTTTCCTCTCTCTTCTCCCAATACAGCATGCCTGCGGCTTCTACCCTCATTCCATAGGCTTTCTATGCTATACTCGTGTCTTGTATCTAGCATTCTCTCATTTACTTAGCCACACTCACCTATTACACATTCCTTTATTGGGTATTTATTATGTATTCTGCTGTTATACAGCTCGGCATCTAATGGCAAGACAGATGAGTGACTGGGATAGTGTCTTAAGTACTGAGTGTCTCCAGACTCTCATAAGTCACAAAAATAGATTCACAAAGTTATTTTTCTGTCACATTTTCATCTGCTCAAAATGCCCCCCCCCCCTCGATTTGCCTGACTAGATCTTCCACATGCTTTGGGTCTCAGTTGAGACATCATTTTCTCCCACATCGTGATGCCCATATTTAGAAAGAAAATTTAGTTTTGTGCTTCACAGACACTGTGTATGAGCTTCCAAATATAATCCAAATGGATTTTAAATTGATCATGCCACTCTTTGAGGGAATGGATAACATTTCCGTTGTCTACATTATTTTATGAGAATGTTACACCATTCAACACTTTGTAACTTCGGGCAGTATAGGGTAGATATAACCTACCAGTGGATTCTAAATATAGCTCCCAGGATGGGAAGATAGCTTAGTCAGCAAAGAGCTTGCCCTACAAGCATGATGATCCGAGTAAGATCCTCAGAACCCAAGTTAAATGGAGAAGAAGAAGGAAGAGGAAGAGGAGGAGTAAGAAGTGGAGGGAGGACGGGGAGGAGGAGCAGGAGGAAGGGAAAGAAGAAGAGGAGGAAGAAGAAAAGGAAAGGTTAGGCGGGCATCGTAGGTATGCACATGTAATCCCGGCACTGGGGAGGTGGCAGAAACGGGCAGACTCCTGGAGTTTGTTGGCCCACCAGCCTAGACCACCTGGTAAGTTCTGAGCCAGTGAGAGACTGTCTGAAAAAACAAAGGTGGGCAGGGCCTGAGGAATGACACCTGAGGCTGACCTCTGGCCACGTACATGTGCATATGTGTGCACACACATTGGCGCACATAAAAGCTAACTAATGAAACTAGGTACGGTGGTACATACCCTGTAATCCCAGAACATGGGAGACTGAGGCAGGAGGATTGCTGTGAGTTTGCAGCCAGCTTGGGCTTCATAGCAAGACCCTGTCTCAAACAAAGAAGACAACTAAATAATCAAACATTCCCCCCGTATGAATGAAACAAAAAAACCACCCCAGTACAAATCTGATGAAAGAGTAGAAATAAAGACCAGGGATGACTGAAGGATGGAGTGCTTGGCCACTGTGCACAAGCACTGCATTTGACCCTTACTTAGCACCGGCACTGTAGAAAATGGGTGTGGTGGTGGTGCAACACAATCCTGGCACGCAGAGGATGCAGGCAGGGACACCCAAAGTTCAGCGTCATTCGCAGCTGTGGAAGGAGTTTGAGGCCTGTCTGAGCTCCATCTTATAAGACGCTGTCTCAAAAGAAAAGAAGAAAGGAGGGAGGGAGGGAGGGAGGAAGGGAGGGAGGAGGAAAGATTTTAAAAAGTCTGTGTGCATTCATGGTCTATGTGTGTGTTTGATGGAATCTTAATATTTGAAAACTGGGCAGTACCAAATGAGCTAGCAAAGGAAGCTAGGGACTGAAGAGGGAAATAGGAAAACTGGAAAAGTAGGATGTCATGGAAAAGGGAAAGGTATTTCAAGAAGGAAGTGCTATTTTCATGAACAAGGCTGGAGATCCGATTGAAGAAGGGCCACAATCTTCTTGGTGGGTCTAGAAGCATGGAGAACGTGAGGATCTTGGTAAATGCCATTTATTGAAGACAGATTTGTACAAAACCAAATAAGTACAAGAGGTTGATAAATGTGTGGGAAGTGATGAGAATATATGTGGACAAATTAACGCATTTGCAGATTTTCATTGTATATAGTAGGGCTGGAGAGATGTTCAGCAGTTAAGAGCACTGGATGTTCTCCCTGAGCAACCTAGTTCAACTCCCAAAACCTACATGGAGGCTCACAACCATCTACAGCTCCAGTTCCAGGGGATCTGACACCCTTTACTACCTTCTGTGGACACTAGGTACACATATAGTGCACAGACATACACGCAGGCAAAACACTCATACATGTAAAATAAAACAAAATAAAATCATGGTACAAGGTATGTTCTTCATGATAACCAAAGTTTGTATTTTCTCCATGAGGTATGACTCAATATCCATGCAGTATAGACCCATTAATAAGTTCAAAATACTAACTTACCTAAGAACGTTTACTGAGTCACAATCACCAGGCACATGTCCAGTGTCTAATAATATTTTGATAAAAAAATTGCCATGTCTTCCAAGAGGTTGTAAGGACATGAATAATTCACAGTACTCGAGGGTGACATGGGCCTACAAGCTCTTCCACAATACTCAGAAGCAGCACCGATCGATCCAGAGCAGGTGTGACGGAAGGTAGCCAGGAGAAGTGGTACTCAAGGGAATTGCCAGAGGACAGGAGAAATTAAGCAGCTAGAGAAATGAGGACTAAGATGTTTAGGCAAAGAAAGTTGGCACTCTGGATTCCAGAAGAGGATTAGGGAGTTGCTCTGTAGTAAAAACGTGCAGAAAGGATGCAGCCTATCTGGCTGCAGTGGATAGTAGTCAGGGCTAAATTTACTATCATTGTGTGCTGGGTACCTCCTACACAGCATGGCTAAGTTTTGAAGCTGGCATTTGTGGTAAGCATTTCCTATTTCTATACGAGGTGGCTGAGCCACTCTACTGGGGAAGTGAGAGCAAGGCAGAGGACACCAGAGTAAGGATATTCTACATAGGACTGGAGTGAGATAAGAAAGTATCTGGCTTGATGGTACAGGACCAAGCTAGGAGAGAATATTTAAAAAATCAAGGCAATAGTATGTATGGCCTTAGAGGCTGGAGCCTCTGCTATAAATAAACAAAGCTTATGTTCCTTTGAAAATTGAATTAACAAAATG